AATTTTTGAGGTGGTCTCCCCCTGTTGCCCAGGCTGGAGTGCAGTGGCTCGATCTCGACTCACTGCAACCTCCACCTCCCGGGCTCCAGCGATTCTCCTACCTCGGCCTCCTGAGTAGCCGGGATTACAAGCATGTGCTACCACACCCAGCTAATTTTGCATTTTTATTAGAGATGGGGTTTCTCCATGTTGGTCAGGCTGGTCTCAAACTCTCCAGCTCAGGTGATCCACCTGCCTCGTCTTCCCAACTGGGATTACAGGCAGGAGCCACCATGCCTGGCCAATTTTTGTATTTTTAATAGAGATGGGGTTTTACCATATTGGCCAGGCTGGTCTCAAACTCCTGACCTTGTGATCCACCCACCTCCGCCTCCCAAAGTGCTGGGACTACAGGTGTGAACCACCACACTAGGCCTTATTTTTATTTTTTGAGACGCAGTCCTGCTCTGTCACCCAGGCTAGAGTGCAGTGGTGTGATCTTGGGTCACTACAACCTCCGCCTCCCAGGTTCAAACGATTCCCCTGTCTCAGACTCCTGGGGAGCTGGGATTACAAGCATGCACCACCATGCCCTGCTAATTTTTGTATTTTTAGTAAGAGATGGGGTTTTGCCATGTTGGCCAGGATGGTGTCGCATGTCTGACCTCAGGTGATCCACCCCTCTTGGCCTCCCACAATGCTGTGATTACAGGCATGAGCCACTATGCGTAGCCTAAACTAACCTTTTAAAAAGATCTGATCTTCCATCTCATTTTTGTGCTTAGACTTTTGAAATCTTTTCATTCAAGAAATCCAGAAGCCCTGATGAAAAAAAATGATGATATGCTTTTATTTTTTTAATTCTTTATTTTCTTGTTAAAAAATACAACATTGGTCATCGTTTTCATTAAACAGACCTTTGTGATTTTACTGATTTATATGAGCGGTGCTAAATTACATGATTTATAAGGCTTGACACAGGAAGAATGCATTGAGGTATATGGGAAGAAAAGGGACATGAATACAAGAGAAATGTTAAATCAATAACTAAGGCACACATTTCAGATGTGAATCATAAATCTACCGTTGTGGCTAGAACAACCTATATGCACATTGATTCCGGAAGACATGATCCATTGCTGGTAAAAGTAGAGAGGACTGGGTTTGTGCAGTCCCCTGGTACTCCCCGCACCACTTCAGAGAAGAAGCGTCATGACACAAGAACAGTAGGCGGTAGAGGCTCCCCAGCACTGAGTCCGGTGAAGCCATAGATGGTTTGCTGTTTACTTCAGCTTCCAGCATTTGCTTTCATTTCACAGTGAGGAAGTCAGTTGGTGATCTCTATGAAATCCCCAAGCACCTGGCGTTGGGAAGGTCCCTCTGTTAAACAAGTATTCTTTCTTTCTTTATTATTATTTTTTGAGACAGAGCCTTGCTCTGTCGCGCAGGCTGGACTGCAGTGGCGAGATCTCAGCTCACTGCAACCTTCGCCTCCCAGGTTCAAGCCATTCTCCTGCCTCAGGCTCCCAAGTAGCTGGGATTACAGGCACGCATCACCACGCCCAGCTAATTTTTTGTATTTTTAGTAGAGACGGGGTTTCACCGTGTTGACCAGGATGGTCTCAAACTCCTAACTTCAAATGATCCACCTGCCCTCGGTCTCCCAAAGTGCTGGGATTATAAGAGTGAGCCATGGCATCAAGCCAGGAAATATTCTTTAAACACCACAAATAAACATACTGCAGCAGGGACTTGTAGAGGCAATTCTGATTAACCAAGGGCTGAAATCCCCATCTCAGACACCCAAGTCAGTTAAAAATAGTAAGATATCACTGCAAGAACAATTCAAAAGAAAAAAAGTTTATAGTAAAATAGGCACAAATCAATTTCATTATAACTAAAACTCCTTAATTTAAAAATATAGTACTAGAAGATCATCCACCCAGAGACTTGTATTTAATAGGACCGAGAATTGCTAGTGTTGGGGGAGATACTTTATGCAGCGGCTGGAAAGCAGCAGCCTCCAGATTACATAAAATGAAAATAGTAGTACTGCCACAGGACTTTTAAAAAGGAGAGGGAAAATTAATGAAAGTGACATGCAACTAACAAACCAAGAGGCAGTGTTGAAGTCACCTCCACGGAGCTGTAAACTCAGAAGGGTTTCCTGGTCATACATGGTCAATTAGGGTCAAGTCTGAAATAATCTAGATAATGACCTAGTTTTCCAGCTCACTCAGAGCTAACCAATCTATAACACTATCATACTTTTCTTTATATTTTTTGAGACGGAGTCTTGCTCTGTCGCCCAGGCTGGAGTGCAGTGGCACCATCTCGGCTCACTGCAACCTCCGCCTCCCAGGTTCAAGAGATTCTCCTGCCTCAGCCTCTCAAGTAGCTGGGACTACAAGTGCATGCCACCACACCAGGCTGATTTTTGTATTTTTAGTAGAAACAGGGTTTCGCCATGTTGGCCAGGCTGGTCTTGAATTCCTGACCTCAGGTGATCTACCCACCGTGGCCTCCCACAGTGCTGGGATTGCAGGTGTGAGCCACCGCACCCAGCCACCACACTTTTTTTGTTGTTATTGTTTTGGTTTTTTTCTATTTCTACTATTACATTTTCAAGGATAAATTTGTGGTTATATTCATGTATTCATAACCAGTTCCCCTGGCTGTTACACCTATTCCAGATTAAATCATGTATATCAATCCCAACATCTTACAGGAGTACAATCTTTTCATGTTACCCAACAGAGCAGGAAAGAGCAGAGAAAGGAGGCCTCTCTTTTAATGGCCGTTTTTTTTTGTTTTGTTTTGTTTTTTGAGACAGAGTCTTGCTCTGTCACCCAGGTTGGAGTGCAATGGAATGATCTCAGCTCACTGCAATCTCCCCCTCCTGGGTTCAAGCGATTCTCCTGCCTCAGCCTCCTGGGAAGCTGGGATCACAGGCACCTGCCACCACACCCGGCTATTTATTATATTTTTAGTAGAGACGGGGTTTCACCGTGTTGGCCATGCTGGTCTTGAACTCCTGACCTCAGGTAATCCACCCGCCTCAGACTCCCAAAGTGCTTGAATTACAGGCAAGCGCCACTGCATCTGGACTTAATAGCAGTTTTCTTAAAGACAAATAGTGTTTCTTCAAAAGTCATCATCAAGCAAAGGTCTTGGCGAGGATCTCTTCATGCTGCTGCAAGTGAACTGTGCCAATTCCTACAGCGGGCACTGGCAAAGGGGGCCGGCCCACCAGGTGGAGCTATAAGTGCAGCAGAGAAGAAATAAAATGACATTTTGACCAGATCAGACGTCTGCTTAGTTCCACCAAAATGGTGCATGTATTTCTCTTAGCTTGTTTAACCATAAATCACGTCTTTCAAATAATGAGTTACACAGAATAGATTAAAGGGACAGAGCTCCGTGCTCAATGCCTTTCACCCAGTGCTTTGGGAGGCCAACATAGGCATATCACTTGAGGCCAGGAATTCGAGACCAGCTGGCCAGCAGGGAAAAACCTTGTCTCTACAAAAAATACAAAAATTAGCCAGGCGTGGTGGTGTGTGCCTGTAATCCCAGCTACACAGGAGGCGGAGACACGAGAATCACTTGAACCCCAGAAGCAGAGGTTGCAGTGAGCTGAGATTGTGCCACTGCACTCCAGCCTAAGCAACAGAGACTTTATCTCAACAACAACAAAAAAATTGATTGGAGGGAAATACGTCACCACTAACAACTAATGGAATGCCAGGCAAGATGAGACATGTTCTTGAATTTGTCCTATTCTTTTTTCTTTTTTTTTTTGAGACAGAGTCTTGCTCTGTCGCCAGGCTGGAGTTCAGTGGCTCAATCTTGGCTCACTGCAACCTCTGCCACCTGGGTTCAAGCGATTCCCTTGCCTCAGACTCCTGAGTAGCTGGGACTATAGGTGCCTCCTACCACACCTGGCTAATTTTTGGTATTTTAGTAGAGACGGGGTTTCCCCATGTTGGCCAGGATGGTATCAATCTCCTGACCTCGTGATCCACCCAACTTCGGCCTCCCAAAGTGCTGGGATTACAGGCGTGAGCCACTGTGCCCAGCCATACTCTATCCTATTCTCAAGAAACTATTAGTTGATTCTAACTGTAGAGTTTATTTAATTAGAACTATTTACAAGAAAAATGATTCAAGCCTAGCAAACTGGTATCAAATGAGTAAACTGAGTTCTAATCTAAGCAGAATAGAAATACATACGCAAGTATAATTGGTTTTCACTTTCTTTTTTTTTTTTTTTTTTTTT